AATTTGTTCCCATTAGGGACTGAAAAACCTTAAGTATGGAATATGAACACCCCCGATTAAAAACATTCTACACATGTATAAAAAACGTAAAGGGTTGCATATTACCAGTTGTGTGTTTAATTGTTAGATTTTTAAATTATATCATTCCTCTATTATTGTCTTTATAGCAATTTCTTTTGAAAGTGTAAAACATTGATATAGTAAAGGTCTTCATAAAAATTTATAAAAACAACATGTGATGTAATACAGGATTACTGGCAATTTATACAGTGATATTGAAGCATTGTTGCGATCATCTGGGTTGTGGAATTTGACAGAAAACTTTTTTGGAAATAAACATTAAAAAATAAAAACTAGGCAAATAGTTGTGCAACTTTAAGTTTTATATTGAAACGATCGAATATAATTATTTTTTTATATAACTATGTATGTGACAAAGTTAAACATGTAGTCTTTACTTTTGAACAATGTGTAGTGATTTCCCTGAATATCCATGTATATGTAGAAAATTGTATGTAGTCGCTTTAGTTATGTAAATTTAAGCTTAATATATTATGTTTTTATCGAGTTTGCTTAGAATAGGTAAAATGCATATAAAGGAGTTTAAAAAATTAAAATTATAATATACACACACATATAATACCGGTATAACATCGCTTTTGATAGTGGGGTGGAGGTTAGAATTTTTTTGACAAATTACCTGAAAAGCCTAATTGCATGACAAGCGGAAAAAAGGAGGTGGGTGGGAAGTGTCCAAACTCGAAAATCCTATTTCGTTGAGGTAGTGAGGCACCTTCAATATTCCACCTTCTGCCCATCTTTATCACCACCACATGGTTTGTTGGAAATCGAGTTTCATTTGAAGCCTATCTCTGAATGTGAGTCCATCACTAAAGATGAAAATGGGTGCCACCCAGGGAACACCCATAACTACTTCCACCAGATGATGACCGAGATGGCAGTCACTGGTCTTCAATGGTGTCAGTATGTGTGTGGACTATTTAATCTAACACTTTGCACTGTTGCAGTTTTTAGGCAGGACATGGAGAAATATAGATATTGTCTTTATCATAATTATTTAATTTGAATAAAATTTATAAATAAATTTAATTTTTGAAAATTTATTATGACATGAACTGTATAACAACAATCCACTAGTCAATCGGTTTATAAAAAGTATGTGTGAAGCGTTATAATTTTTGTACCTCCTGATTTTCAAAATCGAATTTATATCATTATCTATAAGATGAATTGCCACAAATTACGAAATTCAACTATCTCGTTTAAAGCAATACAGTTTGCTCTACAGTTTTTACGACAAGTTCGATTTTAATATGTAACAAAAGGAGTATTCATGCTCATCCTTAGTAGTTCTTGAAAAAATGAACTGTTTTCGAATTTGTAAAAAAAAAATTAATGAAAAATTATTTAAAATGTTAAGGAAAAAATATATTTAGAGCCTATAAATAACGATATTTTAAAAAAAAAATGAAATTCCTTCACACCGCAAATGTGTAAAAAAAAAAGTCATCGATCCAGTATAGAACTGCCCTATAAGTGGAAATTTTAAAGAGACGCAAATTTTGCGATTTCTACCTAAGAACTGGTATTTTATTTTTAGCAAGAAGCAATTTTAGCGATTTTTTAAAATAATAACTAAAGAAGCTATTACGAGAAGGAAATGGAGATAACGAACAGTATTCAATATCAAAGTCCATAAAACATTATAAAATAGGAGCAGAGCAAACACGGACCTCCGAAACATCAGAGGTGGGATCAGGTGCCATGGAGGAGTGAGCATCCCCCGCCGTGTGCTCATTGTCTTGATCGTGAAATAACGGAAAAATCCGTCGTCAATTCAGTGTATAAATAATGGACTAATGATTAGTATGAAAAACGTCAGTAAGCATAATGACCCAATGATAAATTGTATTTGCTGAGAAGGTCATTGTATCGACCATAGAACTTAAGAAATGATGACTTTAAACAAGAGTGCTGATATTCTTGTCTCATCAACTTGCTTGTCAATAATTTACCTCCTTTTAGAAATTGTTCATACGTAGAGCATGCTCTTGCGTATCGAATCAACTGAGATATATACACTCCGTATGCCGATGATGAAGGTATTGCTGCATAAGTAAGGGAAGTTGACATTAAAAAAAATTAAATTAGTCACGTTTATCATACAACTTGGTTGTTAGGTTATCATTAACGCTTTTTCAAGTAAAATATCCAAGTATGAAACAGATGTGTCAGACTCTGTGGTATCTTTTATCTCAAGCTCTTCTGGATATATCGTATCGACGTAGGAATGGAAATTACCGTCGATATATCTGAAGGTCGAGTTGAAGGCCACAGCAAGTGTTTTCTTCTTTTCACGGATAAGATTTTGCATAAATTATGCTTCATATGAATACAAAACTAGGTCTGCTAATAACGGAGCGCAACTGATTCCCATGGGAATTTTAATAGATTGTTGAAAGACCTGGTCTCCAAAAAACCACATAGATATTGTCAATCAGAAACTCAAGCATCTTCTTGATGCCAACTTCAGAGTACTTGTGTGTGCAATCAGAACCTTTTTCAACAAAATATTTTTGCAAATGACCAATGACCAGGTAAGTATTTACGACTTCCATTTTTATTGAAAAAGCAAAATTATTTTTTGCGTTGTCAGCACCCTAGCTAATAATGCAAATAAAGTGCCCCGCCACAGCATGATACGCCCGTCAAATATTATTCAATAATCATGAATTGGTTAAGATGAAAGAAAATCAGGTAGCCTTGATTAACAGATTGACACAAATTTCAATTATCTAATTTCCATTTCTTATCATACATCTCTAAGAGACTTTACAGTGTAGGGATTGATTATAACAAATAATAACATCATATACTTCTAAACTATGTTAGAGCATAACAAATATCCATCGATCTGCAGCTTAAAATTGTTTATTGCATATTTTATGAAATAATGGAAATGCTAGTCAAAAATCAAACATAAATTATTCTTCAGACTATAAAATTTTAAGTGAGGCATGACTGCAAATTGTTGCAAATATATAAAAATTGAAATATAATTTTTTTTTTCAATGAACATGTATAATTAGTTTTAATCATATTGTACAATACTAATTTAGTTTTAATCATACACTACAACATCAATTTGTTTTAATTAATTACACCAACTGAAAGATCTTGGACTAGCCATCAAGAACTCTTAATTAACACAAGCAACCATGAGGCCATTTCTTTTTGCCCAACTCTCAAGGGATAAATTAAGATAACTCTGCATCAGATCTATAGAGACCTCTTAGCTCCTGGCAATAAACTCATTAATTTCTCTCTAATTTGACATGCAAATTTCTGCTATCAAAATTCTTCTTAACCAGTGCTTGATAATTATGCCCATGGGACAAACTGAATTCCTCTCAAAGCATAAACATTTGTTACAGATTGCTGTAAAGTATATAATGAAAAAATAAGTTTTTGCTTAATTTAACATCTTTTAATAAGGATACAACTATTATTTTTACATTTTTTAGGATTATGAAATTTAGAATTTAAAAAACTTAGTTTAAAAAAATAAATCACTTTAATTAAAGGTCACAGTGACCTTGAAATAGGCCCGGACACACCTTCTACTTTAGATGTATACTTTTGCCAAAGCTCTAGGTCTAATAATGTTCTAGTTATGAGCTGGACAGGATTTTTCCATATTTGTTTATAGCATATTTGTTGCAAAAATAATTTTTTTTTCAATGAACACATATATTATCAGTTTTAATCATATTATACAATACTAATTTAGTTTTAATCATACACTAAAACATTAATTTGTTTAAATTAATTACACCAATTGAAAGATCTTGGACTAGCCATCAAGAATTTTTAATTAACACAAGCAACTATGAGGCCATTTCTTTTTGCCCAACTCTCAAGGGATAAATTAAGATAACTCAGCATCAAATCTAAAGACGCTCTTAGCTCCTGACATTAAACTCATTAATTTCTCTCTAATTTGACATGCAAATTTCTGCTATCGAAATTCTTCTTGACCAGTGCTTGATAATTATGCCCATGGGACAAACTGAATTCCTCTCAAAGCATAAACATTTGTTACAGATTGCTGTAAAGTATATAATGAAAAAATAAGTTTTTACTTAATTTAACATCTTTTAATAAGGATACAACTATATTTTTACATTTTTTAGGATTATGAAATTTAGAATTTAAAAAACTTAGTTTTTTTAAAAAATCACTTTAATTGAAGGTCACAGTGACCTTGAAATAGGCCGCGACACACCTTCTACTCTAGATGTATACTTTTGCCAACTTTGAAAGCTCTAGGTCTAATAGTTTTCTAGTTATGAGCCGGACAGGATTTTTCCATATTTGGCTATAGTATCTTTATTAAAGGTCAGAGCGACCTACTTTTTGTGCGCGACACACCGTCTACCCAAGAAGTATCAGTTGACAAAGTTTGATAATCCTAGGCCTAATAGTATTCAAGTTATGAGCCGGACAGGAATGGACAGACGGACAGACGGACGGACGGACGGACATGAAGCCTATAACATAATACGACCCGTCTTAAGACGGGCGTATAAAAATCAAATCCTCGCTAAAATTTCTACTTATACGATAATTGTCTCTTGAAAAGCGCTCCACCCTAAATCTCTTAATTTCAAGCTTCTGATGAAGTCACACAATGCTCTTTTTTAGCATCTTGATTCTATTACTGTCTGCTACCCCAGAAGATGAATCTTCTACAGAGGGGCAACTAAATACCCAAATGCAAGAAATACCAAATTGACAATTAAAAGTGTAACGATAGTTTAATAAGCTTACTTGCATGTGTTTCTTATTTTTGATATTCCAGCATAAGTATTCATATGTCACCCAGCAATAAAAATGTTTGATGTTTAGTAAATCATTCAAAACAGCAAACTACAATCGCAAGCTGATATTTTTGTTCACAGCTTGACAAATATAAAGTATTTTGAGAATGATTTAAAATTTATGATCTAGCATCAGGATTACCATCAGAACCTTAAAATGAAACTGAACTAATTTCATTAAATATTTTTATACATGTTTAAAAAACATCCAATGTGTATTTACCGGTCCTCTCAAATTATTGTGTTAAGATTGGTGTTCCTTTTGGAGTGTCTCATGGATTATTCTGCAGATTTATTTTTTCGTAGATTATTAGAATCACATTCCAATCCTAATCGTAATAACTACAAGAAATTGCTCTCCAATTCATTGTCTTAATTCCAGGTACATAGCAAGATAAAATAAAAAAATCAACAATGTCTCAATTTGAATTCGATTTATTTTAAACAACAAAATATAAATTTTAACAATTGTAAATGGTGTTTATATATCTACATGAAATTATATACACATGTTTAATGATCTACATTATCATATATACATGATACATGAGAAAAATGGTTCAGAATTTAACAGTGGAGCAAAAATAGTGTCAACGATCACAGATCTAGTCCATCTCCTCTACTGTAGGACCACCATTAGTCTGACTAGCACCAGACTGACCCGGATTTCCACCATGAAGTTTGGCCATTATGGGAGAGCACACTTTTTGAACCTCCTTTATTTTGAATTCGAACTCATCAGTTTCTGCTAAGGCGTTACCGTCTAACCATGACAGAGTTTCACTGCAAACTCTGGTAACAGTGTCTTTGTCTTCAGATGGGAGTTTGTCTCCATGTTCCTCTGCTGCCTGTTTGACAGAGAACACATACGACTCCAGCTGATTTCGGGCTGCTATTTTTTGTCGTTGTTTCTCGTCCTCGTCTTTGTATTTTTCAGCCTCATTCACCATTCTATCTATGTCAGCCTTACTCAGTCGACCTTTGTCGTTGGTGATAGTGATTTTGTTAGACTTGCCCGTACTCATGTCTTTGGCTGAAACATTAAGGATTCCATTTGCATCTAAATTGAATTCCACTTCAATTTGTGGGACACCACGAGGTGCTGGAGGGATTCCATTCAGTTCAAATTTCCCCAGTTTATTATTGTCTTTGGTCATTGCTCGTTCACCTTCAAAAACCTGAATGGACACTCCTGGCTGATTATCAGCATATGTGGTGAATGTCTTTGATGCCTTGCAGGGAATTTTGGCATTTCTTTCAATGATTTTAGTCATGACTCCTCCAGCAGTTTCAATGCCCAAAGAAAGTGGAGTGACATCTACAAGTAAAACGTCTTTGATTGCTTCACTTGTGTCTCCCTTTAAAATTGCGGCCTGGATAGCAGCACCATAGGCCACAGCTTCGTCTGGGTTGATGGATTTGTTGAGTTCTTTACCTCCCATGAAATCTTGTAACAGTTTCTGGATTTTGGGAATTCTTGTCGATCCCCCTACCAGTACCACATCGTGAATTTTGGATTTGTCCATCTTAGCATCCCTAAGAGCTTTTTCTACTGGCTCCAGGGTAGAGCGGAACAGATCTGAACACAAATCCTCAAATCTGGCCCGTGTAATTTTGCTGTAAAAGTCAATGCCCTCAAAAAGGGAGTCAATCTCAATGTTAGCATCAGAGCTGCTTGACAGTGTCCTCTTTGCGCGTTCACAAGCTGATCTAAGTCGTCTTAGTGCACGTTGATTGTTAGAAATGTCTTTTCCATACTTGCGTTTAAACTCTTGCACAAAATGATTAACTAGTCTGTTGTCAAAATCTTCACCTCCAAGATGTGTATCTCCTGCACGAAGATTCTTGGAAAAACAATTAACTATAGAATTTGATTTAAAAAATTGTTAACTTAATCAAGTATGCCAAATTTGCAAGGAATACAAGCAGTCTACTGACTTAAAAGTTCTTTTTCTCTTTGAAATAAATACGTAACTTCAATTAATTTCCAAGCTTGTTTAGCAACACCCAAATCATTATATGTCAACAAAAGCAAACCAATTTTTTGACTTATAAGATGTAGTATTTTCTTCTAACTTCCATTCACAACAATATTTTTCCAATGAATAAATTTGTAATTGACCCTGTGTAATTTGTGTGATCTTTTACAACCCAAATAAACTTACATTTATAAATGACAATGAAATCATAGTTAATTAAAATCTAAATTAAATTAAATTTCGACTGATTACAACGGATATAGTGTAGATTTTTATGACAAGCACATTTGAGAAAAAATTAACAAATCATGAACCAGAAGACATGTTTTAAAGATTTCAAAGACTTTACTTACTTGGAAGGCGTCTCCATATGAGTATTGCCAAACTAGTTTTCTTCATATTTCTTGCAAGTATTTATCTCGCATCCTCTAAATATGCGAACATTTGAAATGTGAATATGAAACAAAACACGCATTAGAAGGAAAACAACAATTCTTTTGATTGAAACTATTTGTATAACATCACATTAGCAGCTGTATTTCAAACTAAGCAAATTAAAAGCAGTTGCATGGCTGTCTGATATGGAATTCCATATGTGAAAAAATAATGGACATAAACTCTACGAAGCTATCCATCTCTCATCCACAACTCCTCCTAAACAAACTGTAAATAAAATAAATGACAAAACTAGCACACCTCAAGGATACTTCTTATGGGACACATATTTCAGGCTTCCCATAGCCCCTATGATAAAGAGCTTAATTTTTAACAACTTTTCCTTTTTATCAAATAAAATTTTAAATCAAGTCTTTTATTTTTAAAATCGAAGTTAAATAAATATTGAATAGTAGTTTATGCAAATTCGCGAAATAATAGTTGGTAAAACTTTCATAAAAAAATCTTTATTGAAGTGTGCACTTCTTATTTTAAGATTGAACACATTGGTAACTTTTATCAGTATATGATATGCCATCTTTTTTTCTAATGTCGGGGATATGCTTTCCTTGCAAAATCAAGAGTCCATTAAACAATACAAAATACCTCCAAAAATCAGAGGTAAGATGCCATGGAGAATGCATATGTTCATGATGGAAAATTACCGTCTTCAATTTTGTATAAATAATGGACTAACAATTTGTATGAAAAACATCCCAATTGTATGCTGACATTATTGTATCGACCATAGAGCTTACTAAATGGTGACTTTAAATGAGACGGTTGACATTCTTGTTTTATCAACTTGTTTGTCAATAATTTACCTCGTTTTAGAAATTGTACGTACGTAGAGCATGTCCTTGCGTATCAGATCAACAACTGCAGGTGATGAAAGTATTTTGCTGCCTAAGTCTTTTTTGTTAGATAACCATTAACATTCTTAAATTTCGAGAAAATACAGTATCCAAATAAGAAAAAGTATTGTATGTCGTATGGACATAAGAATGGAAAAGTATTTTCTAAATGTCTTCACGCGTAAGGTTTTGCACACTTCATATGAATACAAAAATTGAGTGATTCAATATTACAAAATGTATTTTTCCCATGGTAAAAGAAATGAATTTTGTGTTTATATGAGCGTAACCAGCATACTAGTATTTCAAAGATTAATGAGTGTACGATTTTGTTTTAATTTGACTGTTTTAAATTTTCGACGTCTTAGTACTGCAATATTAAAATGACATAAATAAAGCATCTTTATCAACTTGACCTATTAAAGATCACTGATTAAAAGAAAAAGTACCTATTTCAAAACAAAATATATGTAAATGTCCAATCAAGGACGTTCATTTTTATTGAGAAAAATAAAAAAACCGATTGTATAAATACCTGAATATAAACGTTTTTGAATTCATATATTATGAAATCGTACAGTTAAAGTTACATATCTAAATTAAATTAAATTTCACTTATGTATAAAAACACTATCAAGGTAATTATGAATGAAGTCAGAAGATATCCATGTATTGAAAACTATCCAGCTTTGGCCATTATGGGAGAACACACCGGAATAGTTTGATTCAAATTTAATTAACACAAAAATGACAGAGTTTCACTGCTAAATGTAGCTTCAAATGGTGGGGACACACAAAGTTGACAACACAATCCTGTCAATATCTTGTCGTTGGTGATGGTGAATCTGAGAAAAAGAATTGCATTGACTTGGGTTCAGGGACCACATATGCTGAAAGACACTCCATGAACCAGGGTGTCCATTCAATGAGGCCGCGCTGTTTTAAAGATTTCAAGTAAAAGTCTTTATGGCTTCAGAATATGAGACCATAAATCTTCAAGATTTGTTAGTTAAACAACGTGCATACAAACAAACTTACATTTTGTACTCGTGGAATCTTTGAATGGCGGAATAAATCTGAACACAAGTCCTCAAACCTGTAAAAGTCAATGCCCTCAAAAAGTGAATCAATCTCCCCATCAGATCTGTGACAGTATCCCTCACAAGCTGAAATTGAGCAGTTGAGTTTGACATTTGCAAAATGATTAACCATACCTGAAAAAGACATAATATACTAAAGAAGCACCAGGCCTCCAGCTGTACAAAATCACCATCACCAGCATCCATATGGAAAAAGCTGGGACTGTAATGACGGCGCCTGAGTAAGGTCTCCACATCTTGGAAACCAAGAGCTATTTCTTGGGAATTGCAAAATAGATAAATGGCTTGAAAGAAAATTAGCGCTGTTTAAGGAAAACAAGAAACTTTTGCTAATTTTATTAGCATGTAGAAATCACATTAGCACTGTTCGCTGAAATCAGTTGACAGGCAACTTATTGTGGATGCAAATTAAAAGCAGCTACTATTCAGCTGGCTGTCTGTATAAGAGAATTCCATATGAATTCAAATTCAAAGTTTTGAGTGTCTCCAAGGGTCTGCTCACATTCATATTTTACAAATCTAGAGGTCTTTTCACTTTTAGATTCTCGCTTTTTGTTGATTTGCTGTCTGAACATTTTCTCTTTCCAGTAGGCTTCTAAAGCTTTTTCAAAATCTTCATAAGTATCGAATGTGTCGCCTACATCCATCCCTTCCTCCATTTTTGCGCTATCTCTCCATCCACAAACAACGTGCCTGGAAATAAAATAAGAAGACGTGACGACAGAGTAATAATAATAATTCTAGGCTGAAGTGTATGTTCTAATCAGAAGGTGTGCTGCAGCCTAACATAATGGATTTTTTTTTTACCGATATAAGAAAGGTTAAAAAGGTCCAGTGGTTGTATATTATATTTATCACATCTTTCAGAAGCTTTCCATCCAAACTCGAACTCTTAAAACAATTTCATTAATAGTCTTAAAGAGCTTCACAACTCTGTAGGACCTTTATTATGTAGAAAGATGTAACTGTCTTTTCATGTTTTCAACTTTTATTGTAATTTGCGTGGGTGTACCCATTGTTAGAAAATCCCTCAATTTTTTTTTATTGTGCCATATTATAGTCGGTACATTTCAACCTAAAAGACTCTTCATGGGAGATTCAGCGTGCACAATTATAATTTTTAAGTTAAAATGCTACGGAAAACTTTGCAAACTTCCTTTCATGTGGTTGAATTATATGTAGTCTAGCATAAAAGTTGGTTTACAAATAATGCACTTTAATATAAAATCTTCTATTTTTAAATACAGTATTTCGAGATTTTTGTTTAGTTCCATTTTTAACACATGCAAGTTTTAGTTTCATCAAGCACCACACAATAAAATACATGATATCACTAAAGTTTTATTCTTATTTTGACTTTTTCCTGTGTCGGTGTTTTTCAACATGGGAAAGTAGAAATTTTCATATGGAGATAACGAACGCTGCTAATACATTATGCTCAAAATCAAATTTATAAGAGTGTTACATGAACAAAATGGATCAAGTGAAACAAAGCAAATCACGGATCAGCCCTGCTTACTTCAATAAACTTTTATATCATGTTCTTTGTATTAATGAGATGCCGCCTGCGGGTGAGAAAAATTCAAGTGGAGGAACATGAATTACCTGACGAGGGTTTTTTTCACAACTGTGGTAGGGGAAGATTTTACAAATCTTTTGTCATTATTAGGAAAACGTGCCAAAAGAACATTATCCAGGAAAGATCATTCGAGAGCAAGATTCGAAGATAAGTCTATAAATGAAAATGGACTCAACAATTTGATTCATATCCATCAATTTTTTGCTGCTGTCCAGGCTGAGAAACACAAGGTATTTGCTCCAAGGATTCATTGTAACTTTGTTCACCACATATGCTGATAACCAAAAATTTGATACGAGACTATGCCCCCTTGTTTTATCAAATTGTCTGACATTAATGCACCTCGTTTTGAATTTCGCGAAGGACGAGCAGTTTGCGCCTTCATAGATCAATGGTGAGATATTTAGCAGCTGTATGTCACGTGTTCGCCGTCAAACAGGCCCATTTCTCCAGGGTCATTATAACAAAGTCTGGGAAACGATACGAAAAGGTGTGCTCACCTATTGACTTTACTCGAATCAAGGCTCACACCGCTTGGTTGTTAAACTCATTTTTTTAACGTTTTTCGTTTCATGTATACTAAATAAAATGCTATTCTATGCCTGCTAGCATTATCTCTGTTGTGACCTACTTTTATTTCATCTCGCACAACATATTTTTCCAATGGAATTCATTATTAAATGCACAGCATAATTCGAATATGCTGTGCATGACTTTGCTACATAAAAAAAGAATTTTCTTTCGCAATTTGTGGAGGTTAAAATGTCATTCTCTTTTTTTCATAATGAACATTTCTTAATTAAGGTAATTTTTTTTCAAATCGAGGAAAAAGTTCATCGGAGGCATATTTTTGTTTTTACAACTTCAACCAATACAAAGATACATTCCTTGTTCTCTTTTTTCCAATTATTTTTTTTTTTATAAAAAAAATTCTTGAATATAGGGAAACTTCTTTTTCCAGACATGGTAAATAATTTATACTAATAAATATAAAATTCGTTTAAACATGCAAATGTACTAAGTGATATATTATTTATACAGAGTTTCAGATTTGTTGCATATCTAATATGAGAAAAGAAATTATATTACCAGTGAATCTATAAGAAAAGCACTTTGATGAACACTTATTAATCAGTAGGATCTCATTTCAATATTGGCCCATATACTTGTTATATAGGTCCCTGATTAATACAAGCAAAAACAAGAGGCGCATGCTTCGTGAATTAACAAAATGTACTTTTCACTCTCAATAAAACTAGTTACCTTGACATATTTGCTAAATCGCAGATTTTGATTTAGAGGTAACTGACTGATATGTTAAGATTTTATGTACCAGGGTAATAAGACCTTCATATTATCACTTAGTTGACCTTTTATTATATAAAAAGTATCTGCGTGTTTCTGTCGGTTGAATATCTACCAGGATCCGTGCCACATTATTTATGTTAATTACTTATCAAGGCGAAGCAATCCTTGTAAATATTAAACTTCAAAAGAGAAACCTTGTCAAGTCTTATTGAAATGCATTTGACCTTTAGAAGTCCTTCTACTCCATCCTCATGTTTGTTTTCTTAATCGAACACCTTCCAAGAGATGCATGCCATGAATATGAATGAATTTGGATGGGGGTATAATTAGTCAAATGGCCGCGCTAATAGCAGACTTGGTATAATGCTTTGTCGCGAGATGCAGTCCATGTTTCGGACTACGTGTGCACTGCTGATAGTCTCATTTTTACTCCTGGGAGTCTCGGTGTTCTTCATAAATCTCCTTCTGACACAACGAGGTAGGTGTTTATTGTCACATTTTTCCCCCCAAAACTCCAAACTGTTCTTTTTTTTTTTAAGACGGAAAATACAAAAATAAATTTGATGCTTTATTGGAAATGACGCAATATGCTAAAACTATAATTATTTTTTTAACAATTAAGAACAGTTTGGCTATTATACGTAATGATGAAACATTTTCTCCCATTAGCATTTCCTTTTTTCTGGAAAAAATGCAAGAATCCAAATGGAAGTGCAAAGGTTAACACTTTTTACTTAGTATTATTCAACTATATGATTTGAAAATTGGATTGACACAATATGATTCATTAGCAGACTGTAGTTTAACACGCAACTATTCCTGCTTATTAAGAAATATATTTCTATTAAAACATTTATAACATAAGAGTACAGTTTTTGAAATTTTATCAAGACTTTAACATAAAAAAGACTTTAAAAAATTTAAATTAAATTGTTATTGAATTATAACACCTAACTTGTTAACCCCCCCCCCCCGGGGGGGGGGGGGACTCCGGCGCCTCTGCATTGAAAGACACAGTGATGCGTTTGTGAAACACTGATGCCCATCCGTATGATAGTGTTTGCCCTCCCCCTTCTAAATCCCCCGCGCCCTTGTTCGAAAAAAAAATCGGGTGTATGCCCCCTTTCCCGCGGTTTCTAAAGGCCTTCAGAATAAAGTTCAGGGATTACAAGTACGTAGGATATATCCTATAGATCTCCAAGTCGACCTAAAATTCACAGGATAGGAAACACATACATGAAACAAAAAATTAATGAACTGAATTATTACATGTCCATGAGTAATGTCTTCCCACAAATTTTTGTTAAAATAAAAATTTGGTGTTATGACTATTGGTGGTAATATGCAAAATTGATAATAGTTTTGCATTTATTGAGATTTGATAACCAAGGGCGCCTAATATTGAAATAAATAAATCATAAATACTTTATATATCAATCAATATCGCACTACCCGTATTATGAAGAAAGAAAAAAATTAAATAAATCATAATAAAAAACAAAACAAGCAAAAGGAGATTTTATGGTAGAAAATGATATGTTTTATACAGAAAATAAATTAATTCAAAATTCATTGGATGTGCATCGTCCAAAATTATTCAGTATTCATAAATATTTGCAAAGTGTACATGCTCTACAATTTTAAAACAATTCCACGCGTCAATAGAAACAAGCTAATTCAGAGAATTCGTGTCCCCCGCTTAGGGAAAAAGTCGGCTCCCCCTGACTGAATTTGTAGAATTATTAAATGTATACATGTATACTGAAGGAAATAAAATACATGTATGTCAATATGCATATAAAGATTTGATTGCTTATTCTTTATTATGTGTATAGAAGATTTTTTTTTATATGGAATATTTATCACACTGTAATGATGATTTTATAACCTCATAAATTTTTCATTTCACATGCTGAATACTATCATTTAGTAAAAAAAAAAGTATTTAAAAAAAAAAAAAGGAAGGATCGGTCGAGATTCGATCCCGGGACCTCGCAGTTTAGAAGCGAGTGACATAACCACTAGACCACGGAGTCGCTTAACACGCAGTGAAGTATATGCAGAACTGAAGTCACATACGTGTATATATTCATGTTTTCATGTTCGGTATTCTCAAAATTTTACACAATCCATGGTGTTTGATTTATTTAGCCTTTATTAAACAGTTATAATAGATGTAATAAGAACATAAAGTCCGCCGAGAACCTGTTTTATACGCAATAACTCTCCTCATGCCCCTGCGCTAAAAATAGCGACATGTAATACTATAAATACTAATAAAACAAACGGGGCGGGGCACTTTGAGAGGGGCGAGAGACGTCCTAGGGAGTTTTGGTATAAAATTACATTGCATAAGCTCAAAATCTTCTTGAAATATCGCCCGGAAATGATAGTGTTACACACAGACAGAATGTATAAATTTACGACCTTGAACTTTGACCTTTTGACCTCAAAATCAATAGGGGTCTTCTTTAGGCCACAGGGAGTTGTTATGTAAAATTTCATTGCGATAGCTCAAATGGTTCTAGAGATATCGTGTGGAAACGAAAGTGTTTTAACAGACAGAATTTGCTTATTTCTGACCTTGACCTTTGACCTTTTGACCTCAAAATCAATAGGGGTCTTCTTTAGTCCATAGGGAGTTGCTATGCTAAATTTCATTGCAAAAGCTCAAAGGGTTCTCGAGATATCGTGTGGAAACGAAAGCGTTACAGACAGACAGAAAGACGGACGGACGGACGGACTTTTCATTTACGGACGGACGGACGGACGGACGGACGGACGGACAAACCCAAATTAATATCCCCCACTTTTCAAGCGGGGGACAAAAAATCAAAAGGTGTTGCTTCCCGCATTTATAAGCTTCCGTAGCAAACGGAAGTGGTCCAAATTCAGCAAATTGTATAGCGTACAGGTACATCTCTGAAGGTTGTCATGAAAAACTTGTATGTCTGGGCATTTTGTAATACCCATTAAGTGGCCGTGAATAAGTAATGACCTAATAAAATAGGCATTAAATTTCTCAACTCGAAGGTTAGTATGTCAGTTTATTACAATGAAGGTATAAGAAAACTTTTAGAGTTATGTCCCTTCCTACATATAATTTCGTAAGTCGCTTCCGCATATCCATACATCCAAATCAATCACAATATACAGAAAAACAATGGAGTCTTTTAACAAATTACTCAAGGCATTCAGGTAGTATAAAGTATGAGAATACGTGTGGGTGTGATTCGTCTCTTTGCTTTCAAGGAAAAGCAAATCGCGCTAACTCACACGTGAGGTTTGCTAGTCGGAACAAATTCTATTTTTATTAGCACCTGGCAACATGTACACATCGAAGTTTAAAGGCCTCTTACTTTGTGTGACACGGATGAATCGATAAGATGGCGTTGAAATAACACGGGATTTTTTTTTATTATTTAGAATGATTCTTCAGTATATCAAAAATGTCTACATCACATTTTCAGATAGTGGGCATCAGCATCCAAGGGTCAAGACAGGGTCTGCTCTTGCAAAAGCCGGGCTGAAAAAAATTGGTAAGTACTTAACTAGCCTTTTTTTTTTTTTAAATACAATAGGTAGTTTCTTAAATACTTGGTAAACTTGCATGGGGGGTTAAATTCTATTTGTCAACAATGGTTAACCATGTATTGTATGAAATGTTTGGCACCATGTCTTGTATTTTGTCTGAGAATATATCTGAAAAATTGTCAGTTGATGTTATGTCATATCAAATAATCAGTTCAGAGCTGTATTGTTCTTGTGCAAGCAACAATTAAATTTAAATAGGTATAGATTAAAAATGTCGATCATCATAAGCGGGGGTTTTGCAATAAGTAAGGCATCTATCAGATCTATCAATCTGTAATATGTATACCTTTGAATAATTTGTTCCAGTTTTACAATGCATGTGTGAAGAACTAAATTAAATCTTTGGTGCATCTGTACAACAAAAAATGATATTTACCAAATAGTAAGCCATAACATTTTAGCATTCTTTTAAAATACTGAAGTAAAAATAGAAGACTAAATATTGTGCTATTGTCATGCCTTTCATGAGGTGCATTTCACTTATCCACATGTATCAAGATGAATCAAATCTTCCCTTTAGCAAAGTGTGTCATGTAGGATAAAAACACATTATTTTACTTTCATGTGCACTGGGAGGCTCATTTCCACCTTCAAAGAGATGAACAGTAAACAGTGCATGATATATCTCCGTGTTTATAAGTAAATGTTGTTTTTCTTTTTTATATGTTAATTTGTAATTACTTTATAAATACATAGGATTAGGGCTAAAATAGCTGAGTCTACTGCCCATTCCTATTCACTTCTAGATGAGTAAATATTAGATATTATTTAAAAATATATTAATTATATTTCCTTCTGGAACAGTGGATAGGTAAAAACTGATTAAAGATATCATTCACCATTGATTGGACAGAGTATCCATGAGGAAAGAATTTGATATCAAATAAAAGAGTTCAATTTAATTAACATAACCTTCAATTTAATGTAAAGCTTTCCAGCATATTTAGTAGGTGTTAACTTACATTAGCAATTAAGCTCAGTCTAGTCCCTGATACATGTTATAAACTTGGGATTAGTGACCTTTGTTATGACATAAGAAATAAGATCTTGTAATTCATCTTTACAACAATTTTTTTTTCATTATTCAGTTGGAAAATGTGTGCTTAAATTACAACTAGCTTCTTTCTTGAATTGGTACATGTTTTAAGAAGTAATGTGCACCCAGATATTGAGAGAGCTTTGAACTGAATTAAGTTTCCTAGAACTGCAAATAAGGTCTGTGGGGTGGGGACTAGTGGACTGTTAAGGACTGAGGGGAGGGGGTTTAGAAGGTGGGTTTGGAGTGGGGACTAGTGGACTACATATTGGGAATAGTTTGATAAAAATAAATTAGTCTTGGCATTAAACAGGTTGGGACCAATTGCCCAAATGGGATATAATAGTCCGTTTGGGATATAATATCCCAAATGGGCTACAAATTTACAGTGCAAAAATTGAAAATTTTTATTTTGGCTATTAATATCACAAATCCGCATCAAAACACTTAAAAAGGAATAACTTTTGGTAAGCAGGTTTTTCTGCAACCCTACCATTTGTTAGATTGATCCCCAAGAAGTTAAAGAACTTCCGAGGGATCGATCTCCTAAACAAATGACATACAGGAAAACTTGTTAACCAAAAGTTATTCCTTTTTAAGTGTCCTGATGCGGATTTATGATATTTATAGCCAAAATAAAAATTTTCAATTTTTGCACTGTAAATTTATAGCCCATTTGGGATATTATATCCCAAACGGACTATTATATCCCATTTGGGCGATTGGTCCCAACCTGTTAAAGCTTCTAGGAATTAGGATAAGTAGGCAGATGGACTTGCAGGTTTTTTTTGCAGTTTCCTGGAATTATATGCAAGGCACCAGCCAGCATACTCATTACTAAACTTTGCATATACTATTATAGCATGTGTAAACACTGTATATACTCATAATTTTTATGATGGCTACCTTTTAATTCTCATGCAGAGCTTAAGAAACTTTGATTTATGCAGCTTACCATGCAATCGGATAATCAACTTAGGATTTAGGAGGGGTATAGCATGATATGATTTCTTTAAATTCTGTTTCTCTTTGTTCAGTGTTTGCAGATTCTTTAAATTTTTTAAGTTGTTAAACAGTGCAGTAGATGAACAAATTTCCATGCTTTTTGAGATACCTGAAATTTAATACGTTTTTATATAATTTAGGATGATAAAGCTTTCTAGGAAAAAGGATTTTAAAAAAATTTATAATTTACAAGTGACAATACATGCATGTATATTAAAATCCAGACAACAAAAGTAACATATAAAATGTCATCTACTTATGTGTAGGTTATGATCAGTTATGAAATATATGTTGACATTTTCCAGGCATAGAAATATAAGATTTTACAAATATAATTAATTTTTATGAATAATGTAGAAAATTTTAATCAGATCTGCTGTCTGTTTTTAAAACTAAATGAAGTAACCTACATGGCACAGTGGTTAGAGCATTTGCTTGAGAGCCAGGGAGCAAGTAGTTGATCCCTTTATCACAGGTTCAAATCCCACTGTGGGCCTTTGGATGAGACTGTACAACTTAGGTCCCTTGTATTAGTAGATGCCTACTTAAACAAGCATTCTGAGAGTATTGCATAAGCAATACATGTCCCCTACCGGGTTCCCCTTTTTCTTCAGGATGTCATTTTATGATATGCAAAAATTATGACCAAGGTAAAACTGCTTGATTTTGAGGTTGTGAATGTGAATGCCTTTAACCTGAGAAAATAATCCACATAAAGACGAAAATTCATTTAAGAGGCTGTCCACCGAAAAACCAGGCAATGGGTGGCACATCGTATGTCATAGATTTCAATTATTTTTTGCATGTAGACTTATTAAAGCAAGTGTTTACACATGACAACATCAAAAAATTTTATAGTGCTCCCCTAGTCCTAGTTTTGGTAAATGCTTAGTTTTAAGTGCAAAAAGGTCAACATGAGGGTAAAAAAAATACTACGTTTTTATTTTGTTTTATATGTAACAGATACTCCTAAGGTGGATGTGTCGATGAATATTATTTATAGCATAGACTCTTATCTTTTATTCTATTAATGAATAAGACTCCAATTTATATTTCTATAGAAAAAAGTATATGGTCCAAATTTGAGTTTAGCAAGTAACTTTTTGAATTCAGTATCCAATTTTCATTACGTTATAAAACCCAATACATTACAAGGACAGATTTTTTTTCTTATGTTTATATTATGAATACAAAGTACAAACTTTTGGGTCATTCAATAAAAACATTGGGAAAAGGTATTTTGAAAGAAATAAAAGGAGTCAAATTTACTTATTTTTCATAGTTTTCACAAATGAAACCGATCCCGACCGGAATTGTATAAAGAAGAAAATACTAAAATAGTAATGTCAAATTTGGCTCATTGTTGTAATATGATTAATAAATTACTTGATTTATTTTTTTGAAAATATTATATAGGTGGCAGGTGCCTTAAGTTTGAAAAATTTATCAATTTTTCATTATTTTCGATCGGGATCGGTTTTATTTCAATCGGGATCGGTTTGTACCGTAAATTTAGAAAAATTTCCTAAATTTGGCTCTTCGTTTTAATTTATCAGAAAAAATGCTTGTCTGTTATTTCTTTTCAGTCAGTTTACTGTTTTTAAATGAGTGTAACCATAGATTGAAATGTACATATTATTTAAATTACCAATGTCTTTTACTTACATGAAGATTACATGTAAAACAACTGATTGATTTCTTAATAGATACGCGGTATTTTAAAAAAAGTATTTGTGCATGCATTATGCAACAACAAGAGCAGACAACATTCTAGCTTCATTATTCATCCTATTTCCAAGTAAAATTTCTTTTTTATATGTCTCAGGAATTAAAAATCGAGTAAATTCTATCAGTAGCGAAATTAAAATTGCCTAAATGCAATAAATATTTTTATGTGTAAAGTCTCGACTTTATCCAAGTTTTTTCTTACCTGTCATCTGTAAAGCCTTTTCCTCTTTTACAAATTTGTCTTTATATAAATAAGAAAATAAGTTCTTTCATGTATAGTATAATTATTCAAGAGCCGAAAAATCGCAAGCAAGAAGCGCGGAAGGGGGGTACAGGGTCATGGCATCATTATTTTTAAAAATTGGTTTCATGAACATGAAAACATTTTAGTATTGGTCAACATAGTCACAGGTTTATGCTCCATATTAAATATGAGCGTGTGATTGTTTCAATCGCAGAATAAAACTAAATAAATAAAATAAATAAACCAAAAAAAAAAATTGTTTCACTAAACCACCTTCCGTTATAGTGCCAAATTATAGTCGGGAATTCAGCAGTAAATTTAACTCGATAAATATATTTTTATAACTTATTTTTCAGTTTTTTTTTTTTTTTTCATTTTAATAACTGTATATTATGGAATGCCATATACGACAGCCAACTGCTTACTGCCGACTGCTGCCTGCTTACTGTCAACTGTCAGCTGCTTACTGCCAACTGCTACACAAACTTGAATAAATTTTATTTTTATATTGATATTTATGTAAATTTTCACAAAAAACAAACAAAACAAACAAACAAACAACAACAAAAAGAAAAAGTCGATTAAACATTTAATATATCTATTTGTTTTTGCAAATAAGATGTGTTTTACATGCTTAGATCTAGAGAAAGGGGTCCAGATCACCCCTCTGAATTCTGTAAAGATATTTAATGCACAAACTAGACCAACTAAAAGTTATCAACTAAAAGGGACCTTAGAACCCCCACCCCCCTGAAACGCGAATTCGTGTTAAGTTGGTATAAAAAATGTCATAGACATGAAGGTGTGACGCATAATTACCCCCCTCTCCCCAGCTGAAATAAATTTTCACATTTAGGAAAGGACTAACATTCGTTTTATTTTCTTGTCAAGAAATTTCTGGGCTTGATTTTTTTTTTTTACCAGAGTGACCCTCTTGGTAAAATGTCCTAGATCCGCACCTTGTTTTTTTTTTTACCTTCTTCTTTTTTTGAAAATTCATATAAATATAACATTTGTTCAAATATGTGTGGCAGTTGGCAGTAAGCAGTCAGCAGTTGGCAGTAGGCAGTTGGCTGCTGTATATGGCATTCCATAGTATATCGTTTATTTTGATTTGATTGCATAGATAAATGTATTTAAGTTTTAGTTTTTACATTTACCAACTTCGTTGAATTTAATGTTGCGTAAATCTAAAACATTCATCATTGATTCCCAATTTTATGAGAAATATTCATTATAAACACTTCATTAATTATTTAAACGCATATCCTGGTAAATCAATTTAAAAAAAAATAGTTCTCGGACATATATAAAATTACTTATCAAAACGTCATCTTGCTGAGACGCCGCCCGTGTACTGTGTGAAATACATTTTGATATTAAAATATTATTTAACATTTAGTATAATGCACTCTGAAGAGTAATTAAACAGAAAAAGATAAATCATTTTTTAAAAATATTTTTCTTTAATACACTTTACGCAAAGAATTTACGAACTCCTCTGGAAAACTTGAAACTATTTCATTGTGACGCAATATTATGACGTCACTGATACATCAATGGAAATGGATTTAACCTGAATATTATAGCCAATTTTAATCTAAATATTATGCTTGGAGGCGAAAATGAATTATATTTTGAAAAAAAATTATTTATTTTTTGTTTAATAATTTTCTTTAGTGTATCGATTCTAAATATTTCATTAGGATTACGATGAAAATGTGTTTAGCAGATTTACCGATGACACGGGAGATAACTCTTGCATCGCAAATTTTCATAAAAACGTCTATATATTTTGCCAGAAAACTTCTATTAAAAGTGTTTTTCCCAATGATTTTATTTTTTAAACAAAACGATGAAATATTTCTAGATTTATTTAAGCGTGAATTATAGTCCTGTTAAAATTGTATTGGAAATTACAGTTCTTTGTTTCTTACCTACTTTCAATGGTTTATATAGGGGAATTCAAAAACACAAAACACACGGATATTTTACTAAATAAGCAATTTTCAAACAAATCTTTAGTTACATTATTCCTTTTGGACTACACTGGTATTGTTTTTAATAAAATACCAAATATTCCTCACATTCGATGTGCCGCCTATTAATACAATACTGCCTGGTTTTTCGGTGGACTGCCTCTTAATTTTTTTTCAACGTCTTTTTCTCGGTTCATATTTACCATGTTGACCATTGGAATTGAGCGCAGCACGAACCTGATCTTAAACCATTATGAAAAATTATAAGTGTCATAATTATGTCAAACATCAATGAAGCAAAATGAAATTCAAACTTGATCTGTAACTCATCAAGATACACCCATATACCAAAAATCAGCTCAATATCTGCAAGCGTTTAGAAAAAAAAGTGTGGAAAACCAAGTAGGACAGCTAGACAGACGGACGGACAGACGCAGAGGAAACCTAAAGTCCCCTCCGGTTTCACCGGTTGGGGACTAAAAAGATCTCTCACCAGTCACTGCTCAATGGCCCTGAGTGCCCTGGAAATAGGTCTAAAATTTGAAACCCCCCACCAACAATTTTACAATGTGTCTCAGTATTAGGGAATAATTCTCAAAGAGACATTAAACAAGCATACAAATAAAATCAACAATTAATTGAAGATTTTCAAATAAAAAGTTATGATGCATGTATAATCAACACAATTTTTCAATGAAAATACCATGTATAATCAATAATATTTATGTAATTATCATAATTATAAATTTTGATATTTTCAACAAATATTTTGTAGCTTATTAAACACGTTGTATGTCTTTTTCATGTTTATGACAAATTACTCTAACTGTGTTAAATGATCAACAATTTATCATTTTATAAATGTCTGTTTGTATTTTGAAATGAAGTATTTATGTTTATGCTTGACGTTTTATAAGGTATCATTACTCATTGATTATAAACAATTACATGTATTTATTGTTAAAGGGATGGGTCCTGAGGGTATTTTTGTTATTCCGTATTTAAACTTTTAAAAGATATGACCTTAATAATCCTGTGAATATTTTTCTTTTCAAAGAGAACATTTGCTGCTTTGGGGTGGCATTTTATTGAACCTGTAAATAAAAATAATTTTTATTTAAATGTCTCTGACAATCTCTAGACCAGGGAATCATTGGAGCTTATTTGTTTCAATAACACACATAAATGACATTATTATAAAGAATACTAATTTTCTTTGCATATTAAAGAAAGTATAAATCAGGTTTTTCCACTGCATTTCAATGCATTCATGCACTGAAAGCATAAAAATGAATTATTAATTCTTAAATGGACATTTCATTTTTCACTTTTCGTAGAAAACACCCACAATGTCCTGTTCATATGACAGCAAAGGAAAACAATTATGTCAGTTATTAAAAAAGCCAGTATATGACTGTCATTTTCATTCATTCATTTATAGACACATTTAGAGAATGGAATATACAGAGGAAAAGTCAAAAGTAACCAGCACTGATCAATTAGAATTCCTTGCTAAGTAATTTCTAGTTCCATATGCTATGACGATAACTCATACAGGACATTTGTATTTAATTGGACACTAGTGTCTCATGAGTCAATAAACTTCAAAGAATATGCAGCTTGTTAAGTCATAAGTTTCATAACCACTATGTTAAAAATTGACATTTTTGTAATCTATTATTTTTTAGAATAAATATTGAAGGCATCATAAAAATTTACATTGAAGCATTTCAATCTTAAAATTTCAGAAAAATTCTTAACTTGATAAAATCAGGAAGTAAATTGGCAGATAAGTATTTTGAAATGATTTCTCCCTCAAGAAAATCTATCCTTAATGCTTACTGACCTGAAAATGTTTAAGTACATTCTACTTTGGGGTTTTTTAAAATCATAATTTATGTTGCACACTGTATAAGGTTTAACAATGGATGTGAAGAAAATAATATTTATGTATTACTGTATTACAAACCATTAATACAGTATCATGAACACAGGCTACAGAGAGATACATAAAGAGATACATTTTACGTTCATAACTAGTTATGTATGAATTATGATTGCTTCCTTAAGAGAATCTTGCATAGCTTCCTGAATATGTATTCATGTACATCTAGAAAATGTTTTGATAATGTGTTGTCTCTATTTTTATAATTCTGTGAAGTACAGCCTTGTTTGATTTCTGCAATATATATACTGTACTCCAAACAGCACTACTGATTGTTATTTTCCATGAAATTCGACCAATCCAGCAAGCCCTCTCTTATCTTGTACATGGGTAGTACTTTTGTCTTCAAAGCATTACAGAAAATTGTGAACCATGTGCTTTGATAAGATCATGCAGCGGCCATCCAATAGCAGTTATAAGTCCGAAATTAAATATTTTGACTTTGGTCTGTAATTCATAACATGAATAACCCCCCCCCCCCCAATCCTTTATTAGTATTCCTTAAAATGTGGATCATTTTGAAAATGAAGTAAGAATTATAATATATGAGATTTGAGAGTTTGGTTCTTGTTGGCATTGTAGTCTTACAAAATGTAGATACATGTACGGTATTTGAATTTCACACAAACTTTAACCATATGAATATTGCATAAAGGTTGAATATTTAAATGTAATTTGTGTAATATGATCCAAATTTCCTCAATTTATTATTCTAGTCCATTGTGTTCTTGCTGGGTACCCCAGGCAAAACTTGCATGGTAACAAAAAATTGTTCATTTGTCTTATTAAATAAGTTAGTGTTAGTAAAACAGCTAGTATAGTTTAAACAGCTTTTGAACAAGTCAAGATTTTGCTAGGTCAGCATTTTCCTGAGCTTGCCTTTGTTGCTGTTTTTTAAAATCATTAAAACTAATATTTGTTTTTCAGTCTTGAAGAAAGTAATGTCTTCCCTACAGCGAACCCCCACCTTACCCCCAGGTACCAAGCCCTTAGATAATCAGGTGGCAGGCCACCAAAACACAGAGGGCAAAATAGGTAAGCTTCAGGTATTTGATGAGAACATTAGATATATTGTTCTTGTACAGTGGTAGAGCATCGCTGGTTAATTAACAAGAACAAGGTACCCTTGTCAACTTCAGTGCTATAGAGAAGAGAGTATATAGTATCTTGCTTTTTGTTATCAAGATTCTGAGCAAACAATGTAGTGTGCACTTTTTGAGTGGATAAAATGTTTGAAATGTTAACGCACAAAAAAGCAAGAGAGGATTATCTTCACTAGACCTTTAAATACACATTATTTGTTTGTGAATCTTTATTCATTTGTATAGCTTTAAATTCTGGCAGAAAAATTTTCAAGAAATATTTTATAAACGACACAATACAAGGGGTGCTCAGAAATGTCAAGGAGATGCAGTAACCTTATCTGCTTTCATATTCACAGTCAAGAATGTTCTTTAAAAACATCTTTTAAAAATGCATCTCTTGAAAGCCATTTGTCATTTCTTTTTTAAAAATTAATTTTTTTGTTAATTGAATTATGGTGTGAGTGGGTGGTCGTGGTGACTTCTAAGTACATGAGATTTCATTATTTAGCTTATTAATAAGTGGTCTACAAGACAATTTGCCTCAGTTCGTTTTCAGTACAAATTTTCAGGCTCTGTATATGTTTATATGGATTAATAAGATTAACATAAATTAAAAGATTAGATTTGCAAAAAAGTCAGATTTGTTTCAGAAATCCATATCCATTTTCAAATCTTTAGATACTGTAGAAGTACTTTTTTCCGTTTGGTAGTAATTTACGGCTAACGCTATGTACGCGGTTACAAATTTTCCACGGAAATTTGTCCAAGCGTACTTAATATAAATGTAAGGCATATAGTGACAGTCTAAGAAATCCGCGTAATTTTCTACCAGTGGATTAAACAGAAATTGAGATTCCGCGGAATTATGACCCCGTGGAAAAAAGTACGTCTACAGTAGTTGCGATGAGGCTATATTTGCTTGCTGCACATTTCATATATATAAAATGACTAAAATTACAAGTGACCACTCCCTATTTGATTTGTACTGTAATTATATTTGAGAAATGTTTCTTATTAATCAGAGTGATTGAACAAGATAAAACAAAAAAAAAACATGAGAAATCATTCATATGACTGATTATAACAGAGTCTATGAACCAAAAGGGATTTATTAATTCCAGCATTAATGATGCTTTCTATTCCAATTCTGTCTTTCTGAAATGAGGCTTAAGAAAAATCAATTATATTAACAACATTGCAATACATATAAATGATGGCAAAGACCTAAATCATGGCCTGAAGTCTGCAATCTAACAGAGATCAAATGAGGTTTACTTATCAACTTTCAGGATATTAGTTATCACCATGACTGACAAATCAGATATTGATTCTATATCTATTTCATGATGCTGTACAGTTACTGTAGTATTTATTTGGATTATCCCAATCTTCATCTTGTTCGACTTTCAAATTAGCTAATTGTTTTTCACGTTAGGGTGTATGTAATATTAGTCCAGATTACAGTCATAATTTCACTGTTAACATTTCTTTTGTCTAGATTCCAGATTTTAAAAAAAGATTAAATGTGCATTTAGTGTTCGCTTTTAATTGATTATTGGAAATCAATGTTACTTTTAAACCTTTTAATATACCTTCAGCAATTTTATAAAACTTGCTGGTAAATGTTTTTATGTTTCAATATAGAGGTACATGTATTTTTGTACTTGTAAACTGTTTTGGGTACAAAATGAAAGTGGATACATCTACCCCTTAACTATTAATTATTCATAATTCTTTAAGGATAAATACCTTTCATATTAAGTGGATTCCTGCATTTTCAGTCTTCCAACAAAAAAAAAAAAAAAAAAAAATAGGGGAAAATATAAAGGGGTGGGGGGGTGTTTCTTTTATCACAGACTCATCATAAGTAGATTTAGAGCTTGGACTAATTGAAAACTTCCTGGTGCCTGTAGACAATGATGTACTGTAGATAATTTTAGCAACATAGGTATTGAGAACAAAGTAAAGATTATCTTTAAAAACCTACTTCACAGGATTCAACGGGCAAAGATTACTACTGGTAGTTATTGAATATATTGGCCATTTTTTCATAAGAGCCTCTCACCAGTGTATAGATGTACTTGTTCAGATAAAATTTCAAGACATGGACACGGCAAAGCTGAGCGCCCCACTATCACAGACCATATCTATAAATTAAGGCAGCATTTGACGTTGATCACAATACAAACTAGTGCTAATTGTAACGGGAACCGTTACAGATGTTCCCCAAACGCTCCCCAAATCCCTTTTCGTGCCATATTCCTTGTAAGCTTTATTAAAAAAGGCAAACTCTATGCATTTAAGACTTTATCAACGTTTTCCCAGAAGTATTCCAAGTATATTCAAATTTAAGCATAGCACGCGTGCACATGTGAATGCATATGCATAATGACGATAACATCTTGTCGCCACTATTTAGAAATCTTGATATACTAAATATTGAAGCATTAAATCCAAAAGCATTAAAAATACGATCATTCAGGTGTATTCTTAATTTTACCAATTTCACGTGCACGCACGTGCATGCATGTGCATGATGACCATACCCTCTTGTAGGAGTCTATTATGTCTGTGTAAGGTCCAAATCCCATCCTGTTTGGTTGAAAAACAAGGGAGTTACAGCCATTTAAAGTTTAAGCCAATCAGATTGCAGCGCACGTGCATGTGCATGCATTTATGAAAATTGTTACATATCATATTGTTGGATATCTTAATGCATGCCTATGTCCAAGATTTCATAGCATTTCGTCAAAAAACGAAAAAGATATTGATATTTTTGTTTCAGCCAATCAGATCAAAGCGCACGTGCACGCAGGTACATGCATGTGCATGACGACCATACCTTCTTGTAGCAGTCCATTATGTCTGTCTATGTTCTAAACCCCATCTTGTTTGCTTGAAGAACAAGGGAGTTATAGCCATTTAAAGTTTAAGCCAATCAGATTGCAGCGCACGCGCATGCGCATGTTTTCATGACAATTGTTATATATCATTTTGTAGGACATCCTAAAGTATGCCTATGTTTTAAATTTCATAGCATTTTGTCAAAAAACAGAAAAGATATTGAGGTTTTTAGTTTCAGCCAATCAGAGCAAAGCGCATGTGCATGCGCGTGAGTTCGTGCTAATTTGACAGTATTATATTATTAACACTATTAATATATCCTTATATAATGAGTTTCAAAGCATTTCATCAAAAAATGTAAAAGTTATGACTATATTAAATATATCAGTCATTTCACTCATTTCACGCGCACGCACGTGCAGGCGTATGCGCGCAAAATGACCTTCGTTCCGCACACCTACACTACACACCCATTAACCCTAAAAAGGTTTTAACTTAGTTTGGTGAACAGTTTCTGAGAACACTCGCGGACAAAAAAGTACCGGAGAACAAATAAGAAAAAAAATAATAATAATAATAATAAGAAACAGAGTAAAAACAATATGTTCCCAAACTCCGTTTGGGGAACATAATTACATCACTTCCATTTCACACAGGACATAACCCACAAATAAGCACACACACATGATAGCATTACTAACCAGTGTAATATTATTCCCTACAACTCTGTTGTAATGGATTATAAATAGTGTTGAAAAAAGAAAAAAATCATCTCAAAACTTATGTTGCTAATTCATTGCTTGCCTAAACTTTTCACAATTTGTAAAATATGGCAAAAATCACTGATGCCAGCAAAGAGCAAGGTTCGGCTGATGCTTGGGGCCTCTTTTGGCTCTCTGAATTAAGAAAATGAATACTTCATGGCCATGCAGTTTTAGGTGACAGTGCAATAATATCAGCAGCACCTTGAAGACTTATTTATTGAAAAATTTTGTGGAATTTGCATTTTCCATGTTTTTTTTTATTGCCAAACATTGCTGTCATTTGCCTGTTAAAGTCCCGTTTCTTTTAGTGCAACATGATGGTTTCTCCTAGTTTCCCAAATTATATGGAATGCCTTAGGCCAACATTTTTTTATTTACTGTTTTACGGGAATTTTTTTCAAAAAATTGAGTCGGGGGGTCGAAATAAAAATAAAAATAAAACCTTCAAATTCAAGCAGTCGGTCAGAAAAATAAAAATAAAACCAAAAAGTGTAACAATTTTTTTTATTTTTTGAATTAAGAATGGAATTGTTTTAATACCTTAATTTGTCAGAAAAGAGTGTTATTTGAAAAAATTAATGCATGCAAAACAATTTTATCATATATTTTTTTTGGTATTGAATAAATAATAAGATTTGAGGATTTATGAGTAGCTATCATAATGGCAAGAATATATAATTAGTGAGGCTTTTAATGGATCAGTTAAATTATTTCACAAGTGAGACTAATGGTAAAAGAAAATCTGTGTATCTTTTTCAATGCAATTCAAATTAATATACACAAAAATGGATAAAACATATCTTTTCTCTTGAAATCATATTCAAATTGCCTCAAAATTGCTACAGCTTTCAAAGTACATGATTGTTGAAAATACACATATTTACCATAAGTATATACATGTAAAATAGGCAATGACAATTACTCTGTTTACTGCAGAATTCGAATATTTGTTAAAACTTGTTCTAATCAACAACTTTCGAATAAAAAAAATAGGTCATATATTTGCATGGATGTATCATCTGCAGCTTTGTTTTTCCCAATTGGTAATTTTTTAAAAAAAAAAGAAAGCTGTTATTACCACGCTGATGTCCATTAATTTGTTACATAACAAGCAAAATTCTATTTTGAATCGTAGTAAGTGTGATTAACATGATATTAACGAGTGAAAGTTGTGACTCGAATTTCCTCAGTCACGCCAATTTCTACAGTGTTCTGTTCAGCCGTTACATGTAAAAGAAAACATGATTGTCATAAAAATAAGTTTCAGAACAATCTTCAAGCCATATTTCAATGCTTTGGAACAGTTGTCAAAGATAATACATACTTAAAACCTCTCAAAACA